GCCTGTACTCGCTTTATACGGTTGTTGTGACGTTTTCATGACCCCAAATCGACAAATAAAGGAGTCCGGCAAATGTTTTGCAGAGCCCAACTAACTTCCAGAGTCCGTGTGTTTGTTGTTGTTGTTGTTGTTAATTGTGAAGTCGTGTCCGACCCATCGCGACCCCATGGACAACGTTCCTCCAGGCCTTCCTGTCCTCTACCATCTTCTGGAGTCCATTTAAGCTCATGCCTCCTGCTTCAGTGACTCCCTCCAGCCACCTCATTCTCTGTCATCCCCTTCTTCTCTTGGCCTCCATCTTTTCCAGCATCAGGCTCTTCTCCAGGGAGTCCTTCCTTCTCATTAGGTGGCCAAAGTCCTTGAGTTTCAACTTCAGGATCTGGCCTTCTAAAGAGCAGTCGGGATTGATCTCTTCTAGGACCGACCGGTTGGATCGCCTTGCAGTCCAGGGGACTCGCAGGACTCTTCTCCAGCACCAGAGTTCAAAGGTCGTGTGTTTCATGTGGGCTAAACCACACTGCCTCTTTTAGCATTGTGTTCGGGGACAGACTCTGCTTTGTGGACAGTACAGGCCGTTGTGTTACCACTGGCGGATTTCAGGGAAACGGCAACACTGTTCGGCAAAGGTAAACAAGTTTACCTGAGCCAGCCATGCTGAGGGGAAAGGGAGAGGTTTCCATGCTGAGCCATGCTGGCTCAGGAATTCTGGGAGTTGAAGTCCACAAGTCATAAAGCGACCTAGGCCTAGGCCAGAGGTAGGCAACCTTGGCTCTTTTATGACTCGTGGACTCCAACTCCCAGAATTCCTGAGCCAGCCATGCTGAGGGGAAAGAGAGAGGTTTCTAAGCTGAGCCATGCTGGCTCAGGAATTCTGGGAGTTGAAGTCCACAAGTCATAAAAGAGCCAAGGTTGCCTACCCCTGGTCTAGTATAGCAAAGAAAAGGACTAGGGGTGACATGATAGTCTTCTAATACTTGAGGTGTGCTGTCATAGAGAAAAGGGGGTCAGGCTATTCTCCAACGACCTGAGGGCAGGACCAGAAGTGACGGGTGGAAGATCATTAGAGAGAGATCCAAACTAGAATTAAGGAAAAATTTCCTGATAATGAGCACAATTAATCAATGGAATGGCTTGCCCCCAGAGGTTGTGAGTGTTCTGTCACTGGAAGTCTTCAAGAAGGGATTGGCCAACCATTTGTCCAGAGTGATATAGCATCTCCTATTTTAGTAAGGGGTTGGAGTAGAAAATTCTTCAACATCCCTCCCATCTCTGTTGTTGTTGTTGTTAGTTGTGAAGTCATGTCCGACCCGTTGCGACCCCATGGACAACGTTCCTCCAGGCCTTCCTGTCCTCTACCATCTTCTGGAGTCCATTTAAGCTCACGCCTCCTGCTTCAGGGACTCCATCCAGCCACCTCCTTCTCTGTCGTCCCCTTCTTCTCTTGCCCTCCATCTTTCCCAGCATCAGGCTCTTCTCCGGTGAGTCCTTCCTTCTCATTAGGTGGCCAAAGTATTTCAGTTTCAACTTCGGGATCTGGCCTTCTAAAGAGCAGTTGAGGTTGATCTCTTCTAGGACTGACCGGTTGGATCACCTTGCAGTCCAGGGGACTCGCAGGACTCTTCTCCAGCACCAGAGTTCAAAGGCCATGTGTTCCCCTCTTTTAGCATCGTGTTCGGGGACAGACTCTGCTTTGTGGACAGTACAGGCCGTTGTGTTACCACTAGCGGATTTCAGGGAAACGGCAACACTGTTCGGCAAAGGTAAACAAGTTGTGGCGTGTAAACAAGTTGCCTCGCTGTGCTTTTTCCACACAAACAACAGTCTTTTAGCCGAGATAAATATATACACATCACTGCAGGTAGAGCTTCTAACTTATAAAAGTTCATTTAGTGACCGTTCAAAACGACCAGGGCACTGAGGAAAGCGACGGATGACCGTTTTTCACACTTACGACGGTTGCAGCATCCCGATGGTCATGGGATTTACATTCGGACGCTTGACCACTGACTCGTATTTATGACGGCTGCAGTGTCCCCTTTTGCGACCTTCTGACAAGCAAAGTCGAGGGGGAAGCCGGTTTTGCTTAACAGCCGTGTGACTCACTTCACAACTGCAGTGATTCGCTTAGCAACCGTATGGCAGGAGACGTCGTAAAATGAAGCAAAACTCATTTCACCGTTTCACTTAGCAATATAAATGTTGGGCTCAATTGTCATAAGTTGAGGACTACCTGTATCTATAGCAGAGCAAAGGGGGAGCCCTTATCCAATTAACAATCCTGTGAGTAGCAGAACTGCAGTGATTCGCTTAACGGCCCGGGCAAGACAGGTCGTAAAATGGGGCAAAATTCACCTAACAACTGTCTCGCTTAACAACAGGGCTCAATTGTGGCGGAAAGTCAAGGACTACCTGTAAGGGCACGGTGGGTTGAGCAGAAGATGAGCTTCTGAAGGTGGCTTGGTCAGTAGCATCTGTGGTCTCCAGAAAAAGGGTGGTTGTTTTTTTTCCACATTTTTCCAGATTGTGGATCTTGTTAAAACCAATTTGTGGAATCCTTGATTCAGAGATGATATGAAATAGATTGGACTCAGCTGAAGTTTCTTTTTTCATCTCCTTGGAGGGGGGGGGAAATCCAAGGAACCCGTCACGTTCTTGGCCAACTGTAGGATCTCATAAAACACGGTTGGAAGAACATGGTCTAGACCAGGGGTAGGCAACCTTGGCTCTTTGATGACTCGTGGACTTCAACTCCCAGAATTCCTGAGCCAGCATGGGGGAACTATGGCCCCCTCATGACTCATGGACTTCAGCTCCCAGAATTCCTGAGCCAGCATGGGGGAACTATGGTCCCCTTCATGACTCGTGGACTTCAACTCCCAGAATTCCTGAGCCAGCATGGGGGAACTATGGCCCCCTTCATGACTCGTGGACTTCAACTCCCAGAATCCCTGAGCCAGCATGGGGGAACTATGGCCCCCTCATGACTTGTGGACTTCAACTCCCAGAATTCCTGAGCCAGCATGGCTCAGCTTGGAAACCTCTCCCTTTCCCCTCAGCACGGCTGGCTCAGGAATTCTGGGAGTTGAAGTCCACGAGTCATAAAAGAGCCAAGGTTGCCTACCTCTGGCCTAGGCCTAGGCCGCTCTATGACTCGTGGACTTCAACTCCCAGAATTCCTGAGCCAGCATGGCTCAGCTTGGAAACCTCTACCTTTCCCCTCAGCATGGCTGGCTCAGGAATTCTGGGAGTTGAAGTCCACGAGTCATAAAAGAGCCAAGGTTGCCTACCCCTTCTCTAGAACAAGGGTCCCCAACCCCCAGTCCGTGGACCGGTACCGGGCCGCGGCATGCCAGCAACCAGTCCACACAAACAAGCAAAGCCTCATCCATGGGATGCAGGCAGCACACAAAACCACGCACCCTCCCATCTCTCCACGGAACCGGTCCCTGCTGCCCAAAAGGTTGGGGACCTCTGGTCTAGAATTCCCAAGATGTTTTGGGGTTTTCCAAAAACAAGAAATGTGTAATTTTCACACCCCTTCCAAGATTTATTTGCGTGCATTCTAACACGGCACCAGTAAGCCTCTATGTGGTTTGGTAGGTTTTTGGCAACTTCCACCAGGACCGTGAATCATTTTGGATAATGTGCCTTAATTGGCTGTTTCACATGGGTGTGAATCCGGTCAATGGCGCTCTTTTCCCTCTTAAGTGCTGTTCGAAACAAAACATAGCTCAGGGCGGGCTTTAAAAGTGGTATGTGCGCCTCCTGTTTCTGCAGAAACAGGGATCCCTCCGGTATTAGAAGCCATAGCTAATAATTAAAACACTTAGATAATTTACAGTCCCCTCTGGGCTGGGTGAATCACAATAATTTAGCAGCCAGAAGCAAAACGACAACAAAAAAAAGGGATCCAAAATTTGTGCGGCAGTGGAGGTCAAGGGTGATAACTGGGTAACATGGGACATCCCTGGATATTAATTCTTTTTTTTTCCCCTCAAGTGTTGGCTTTTTTAAAAAATGTAAATAAAGTGTAGTCCTCAACTTACAACAATTTCTTTGGCAACTGTTCAAACTTACAATGGCACTGGGGAAAAAAGTGACTTATAGCAGGTTCTCACACTTATGACCATTACGAACATCCCCAAGCTTAGATGGTCAAAACGTCATATGTAATTACAATGGTTGTGGCATCCCGGGGTCACGAGATTGCCATTTGTGACTTTCCCAGCTGGCTTCCAACAAGCAAAGTCAATTGTGGGGGGGGAGATGGATCCACTTAATGACTGCATGATTCCCTTAACAACGGCAGTGATTTGCTAACAACTGTGGCAAAAAAAGGTTTGAAATTGGGCATGTTTCACTTAACAATCGCCTTGTGGGAAGGAAGGAAGGAAGGAAGGAAGGAAGGAAGGAAGGAAGGAAGGAAGGAAGGAAGGAAGGAAGGGAAAGAAAAGGAAAGGAAAGGAAAGGAAAGGAAAGAGGGAGGGAAGGAGGGAGGGAGGAAAGGAGGAAGGAAAGAAAGAAGGAAGGAAGGAAAGAAGAAAGGAAGGAAGGAAGGAAAGGAGAAAAAGATGGAAGGAGGAAAGGAAGGAAAGGAAAGGAAAGGAAGGAAAGGAAGGAAAGGGAGGGAAGGAGGGAGGGAGGAAGGAAGGAAGGAAGGAGGAAAGGAAGGAAGAAAGGAAGAAAGAAGGAAAGGAAGGAAGGAAGAAAGGGAAGAAGGAAGGAAAAAGAAAGAGAGATGGAAAGGAAGGAAAGAAGCAATGGAGACTGTGGCTCAAATTGTGGTCGTAAGGTCGAGGACTACCTGCAGTCCAAAGATTAACCCAGGTTGGAGGTAGATGATGAAGAAAGGAGAAAAATGCAAGAGATAAACCTGTTTTTCCCCCGTGAAAAGGAATGGATGAACGCATTGTGTAAACTTGGGTTGGCCCGTTGGTTTGCTTTGAAATCCCTTGATAAAGATCAGCTGCCAATCCTGACCTGTGTTCTTACCATTGCAGAATGTCCGAATCGATCCCGACGGTGCCATGTACTCCCTTTGGAAAGATCTGCCTCTGCCCTTCTTCATCTCTTTCTACTTCTTGGAGGTGGTGAATTCCAAGGAGGTCCTTCTAGGCGCCAAGCCAGTCCTGAACCAGCGGGGGCCGTACGTCTACAGGTGTGCATTGCGTCCTCCGCTTGTCTCAGAGACGGCTTCGTTTCAACACACACCCAGGCTTGGCCCTTGGCAGGATTCGGCGTTCCGCCTCGGCTTTTACAGCCAGATGAATCTTGGTTGCGTATTTGGGGCAGGAGGGCAGGCCGAGGATTAGGAGCCGATGGGAAAGGGAAGGGAAGGGAAGGGAATAGGACAGGGAGGGAGGGAAGGAAGGAAGGGAAGAAGGAAGGAAAAGAAAGAGACAGGAAGGAAGGAAAGAAATGGAGAGAGGGAGTTAGGGAGGAAAGGAAAGGAATAGGAGAAGGAGGGAGGGAAGGAAGAAAGGGCAAGAAAGAAACAGGAAGGAAGAAAATGGAGAGAGGGAGGGAAGGAAGGAAGGAAAAGAAAGAGACAGACAAGAAGGAAGGAAAGAAAGAAACGGAGAGAGGGAGCTAGGGAGGAAAGGAAAGGAAAGGAATAGGAGAAAGAGGGAGGGAAGGAAGGACAAGAAAGAAACAGGAAGGAAGGAAATGGAGAGAGGGAGGGAAGGAAGGAAGGAAGGAAGGAAGGAAGGAAGGAAAAGAAAGGGAGAGAGGAAGGAAAGAGGGCAATGAAATGGAAGGGATGAAGGAAATCAAGGGAAGAAAGGAACGAAGGGAATAGGAGAAGGAAGGAAGGAAGAAAAAGAAAAGAAGGAAGGAAGGAAAGGAAAAAGCAGAAAAAAGGAAGATAGACAGGAAGGGAGGGAGGGCAATGGAAAGGAAGGAAGGAAAAGAAAGGAAGGAAAAGAAAAGGAGAGCGAGAGAGAGGAAAGAGAGAGGGCAATGAAATGGGAGGGAAGGAAGGAAGGAAGGAAATTAGCGGCAGTTCTTCATGCTGCACAAGTTGAATTCTTGAGGTGTTAATTGCCTTGGTTGCTAACTCATCAGAAAAGACAGTTTGACATAAATCCTTGGTATGTGGTGGGTGTTTGAGCAACCCAGAGAAACAACACATTTCATCACCAGCTGTAATCCTGCCTTTATCATGGATCGCATCTACATAACCAGACTATAATTTTGCTCTCGGTGCAAAACCAGATTAGTCGAAGCAGACAGGGTCAAATCAACCGGGATAAACAAACTGAACCCAAGGAGGAAGATTTTCCAGAACTGAATGGTAATCCAATGGTTTGCAAAGCATTTAGGGATGGTTGCCCGTGCGCAAATGCCTTTTTCCCCCCGTAGGTGGTTAAATCCAAATGTAAATGAAATGGTAGCTTTTCCTGACGACAGTTCAGCCGGTAAAGGAAGGAGCCATATCATTATTAGGCGTTCTTGCTTCCCATTGTTTTTGTTGTTGTCGTTGTATTGTCTTTTGTGTGGTGTTTAATTCTGTGCCCTGCTTAGAGCTTCTGGAGAGCGTTTATATGTCTCGTTTTCAGAAGACTTTTGCTCCCGATGGTGTGAAAATAAGTGTCAAGATCGTGCCCATTTTTTTCAGCTGTTGTTTAAAGTCAGGACGGGAAAGTTTGCAGGCTGAATGCAGCCAGTTAGATCAAACAGAGGGATAGAATCAAGATCACGTGAAGGGTTAATACCACTTTACAAGGCCTTGGTAAGGCCACACTTGGAATACAGCATCCAGTTTTGGTCACCACGATGTAAAGAAGATGTTGAGACTCTAGAAAGAGTGCAGAGAAGAGCAACAAAGATGATTAGGGGACTGGAGGCTAAAACATATAAGGAACGGTTGCTGGAATTGGGTATGTCTAGTCTAGTGAAGAGAAGGACAAGGGGGGACATGATAGCAATCTTCCAATATCTCAGGGCTGCCCCAAAGAAGAGGGAGTCAAGCTATTCTCCAAAGCGCCTGAAGGCAGGACAAGAAGCAACGGATGGAAACTAATCAAGGAGAGATTCAACCTAGAACTAAGGAGAAACTTCCTGACAGAACAATTAACCAGTGGAACCACCTGCCTCCAGAAGCTGTGAATGCTCCAACACTGGAAGTTTTTAAGAAGAAACTGGACAGCCATTTGTCTGAAATGGTATAGGGTTTCCTGCCTGAGCAGGGGGTTGGACTAGATGACCTCCAAGGTCCCTTCCAACTTGATGATGATGATGATGATGATGATGATGATGATGATGATGATTATTATTATTATTGTTGTTATTGTTATTGTTATTGTTATTGTTATTATTATTATTATTATTACCTCCTGCTCAAGCAAGAGGCCTATATCATTCCAGACAAATGGCTGTCCAAACTCTTGGGTATGTCTAGTTTAATGAAGAGAAGGACGAGGGGGGACATGATAGCAGTCTTCCAATATCTCAGGGGCTGCCCCAAAGAAGAGGGAGTCAAGCTGTTCTCCAAAGCACCTGAAGGCAGGACAAGAAGCAACGGATGGAAAGTAACCAAGGAGAGAAGCAACCTAGAACTAAGGAGAAACTTCCTGACAGTTAGAACAATTAACCAATGGAACAACCTGCCCCCAGAAGCAGTGAATGCTCCAACACTGGAAGTTTTTAAGAAGAGACTGAAATGGTATAGGGTTTCCTGTCTGAGCAGGGGGTTGGACTAGATGACCTCCAAGGTCCCTTCCAACTTGATGATGATGATGATGATGATGATGATGATGATGATGATGATGATGATGATGATGATGATGATGATGATGTCAGTTAGATTTAGAGCTGGGAGCACTGAAAGTGAGCCTGTCAAGGTTATCCAGCTCACTGCCAGCTCTGGAAAAAAAGGCAGAGGTAGTAGTGAGTGGATACAATCAGAAATGAAACCATAGGAGAAAGAACTGGGATAGAACCGACCTTAAGCCAGTCACAAAGACAGCAAGTGAAGAGCTTTGCTCACCTGGAGAGAACGCCTTGGGATCCTATGCCATAAAAAGGCACATCCAAAAAGAGGAGAAGGTCAAAGAACACAAGGCTGACCCAGAAGAAGACAGAGAGACAACACCAAAGACGCATTACAACAGCATCAAATAGGAATGGTTGAAGGAAGAAGAGGAGAAGGAAGAGAAAGGAGGAGGAGGAGAAGGAGAAGAAGAGGGAGAGGAAGAAGAAGAAGAGGAAGGAGGAGGAGGAGAAGGAGAATAAGAAGGAAGCGGAGAAGTAGAAGAAGGAGGAGGAAGAGAAGAAGGAGAAGGAGAGGAAGAAGAAGGAGAGGAAGAGAAAGGAGGGGGAGGAGGAGAAGTAGAAGGAGAAGGAAGAGGAAGAGGAGAAGGAGGAGAAGGAGAAGAATGGTTATGGATTTATGATAAACCATCCAATTCCACTTTTGGGGCAAATGCTTGTAAAGGGTAGCAGTTGTTTAACCAACCTCCCGCACATAGGATTGTCTTCCCATCACACAGCAGAGGCCAACGCCGCCACTCTTACACAACACAGCTGGGTACAACTGCATTTGGCCCATTTGGAAGGCCAGACGGATGCAACCGGTGGAACTTCTGCCTGCCTGGCATCAGCAGCTCCTTAGTGGAGCAAAGTGCGGGATTGTCAGCCTCCCCACTTGGGAGAGATTACTAAATAAGCCCCAGGGTGAAAGAATGTGAGTCACGGTTTTTGTACTCCCTGCAAAGCATAAACTTGGAAATTTATTACAATTAGCGGAATTTATTCCCAGGGATTAAAGTCTTGTGATAAATGGCCAAGTCATTTTTGAAGCCATTTCTCCCATCAATGGAAAGAACAATTAACCAGGGGAACAACCTGGTTGTTCCGTTTTTATTGTCTTGTTTACTCTTGGCGGTTTGGTTGCATTTGCTCACCCAACATAAGGGGTCCTTGGTGCGCTCTGAGTTTGTTGTTTGCTTGCAGATGTTTCATTAAGCCAAATAGGTCACATCATCAGTGCAAAGAATAAGAGACAATAAAAAAAAACTAAGCAAACAGAAGGACTAAAACCAGCAGCCAGATAAGCAGGGATTGACACCAGAGAAAAGGGCAGGTAGAAAACTATTCCCTAATCCAGGACAGACCAAAGACAAAAAACCACACTGCCACTAACACCGCCCAGATAATCTTCTGCTTATAAACAGGAAAGAAACTTCCCATTTCTTTACACTCGTGATGTGACCTAGTTGGCAAAGGAAACATCTGCAAGAAAACTATCCAACTTTAGAGAGCACCAAGGAACCCAGAATCCTCCTCCTCCTCCTCCTCCTCCTCCTCCTCCTCCTCCTCCTCCTCCTCCTCTCTGCAAATCCCACTCCCTTCTATCACTGCTGATGTTACCTAAATGGGTAATGAAACGTCTGCAAGAAAACCACCAAGCTCTGAGAGCACCAAGGACTCCACAGTCCTCCTCCTCCTCCTCCTCCTCC